TCTAGTAGATTTTATTGATTGTAACAGTTTTTGTGTAACCATACTCCTATTCAGTCAGTCAGTCAGCTACAACGTAGGACCAGGCACATATATGCATCGGTCCAAGTTGCCATACCTCGTTAGCACAACATGATGTATACTGGATTCATAGAAGTAATTAATTTAGTGGTGGTAGTATATAAAAGAAAGGTTGTATATAAGGAAAAAAGTTATGAAACAATTTTAATCTCAAGGTTTAAGGGAAGACAGAAAGTGTGTATGCACCTACGCCATTGTGATCGATTCTGAGCCATGTCACCTAGAGTCTCCAACCATTGGTTACGATAGTTACGCAGACCCTAACCATGTAGTCTGCATCTTCCAACATGGCTCAGACTAGAAGTTAATGACTTCAAGCACTGATACCACGTTTTGGTTTGGCCGTGTGGTGCATATGTATCCGGTGCCCTTTGTACCAATATGTATGTGATTAAATAAAAAAATAAATTTGGTTTGGCCGCCCCTAACTCTCTTCCAACCATCCCCAATACTAGTCAGCATTGCACGTCGTGGTAATCTGTGTGCAGGCATACGTAACACGCGTCCTAACCATCTCAGTCGATGAAGATTCATAACCTCATCAACTGATTTACCATCATTCCCTAATAACCTCACTATTACTTACCCGGTTATCCCAGCAGGTGCGAGCAATATTTCTAAGGCATCTCTTATTTCGGAAATCCAGTATTCTTTGATGTAGTGGATAGTCGTGAATACTTCAGAGTTGTTTTAACATATAATAATTCAAGAGACCAAATACTTGAACAACCTGTTAGATAGATATTAAAATATTTCTTACTTTTGTGTTAGGTAACAGTCTGTGTTTAGTCCTTACTTTTCCAATATAAACTAAGGTGTTAAGTTGAAAGAAACCCCTTTTTTAATTAAAGTAGTTAATAATAGAATATGATATAGCAGGAATGACTCTTGTTCTTAAGTATCGTCAATTTCCACCTTAAAAGTAGATTCGCTTTTGATATACATATTCTACTTACAGATTCAAGTTGTGCAAGGTTTGTGGTTTGATTACCCCTTTACATACTTTAATTCGAAATATCGGGTAATATCACTTCTCTTCAGATGAAAATTACACTGAGAATTGAATATACCAACATCCAGTTGATAAATGGGTCGCATTTATTTCGGTTGGGAATCTGTAAGATATATGGTTGAATACAGTAAAAATGTTTGAATTTAGCCACAAGTTATTTTTTATAATTTCGAGTGCTTTGGAATTATGAGTACTTATGCAGTTCTATTATAAATGCTTCTTATGCTAAACATAAAGTTATGAAGTAAAACTTAGAGTGACAAACTATAGACACATACTTTGTACATGATTCTGATCAATTTACTGCTTTCTATAAGGTCTGATTTTGGCATGTCATAGACTATAGCATTCATTTCCCAGTTTTTAAAATTTACTTACTGGGGATCAGTCAATAGTGATCTTAATATTTTATTACACTTTTCAGTAATTATTGCAGAAAATCATTCCGATTTTTTGTTTGAAAACTAAAACTTTCCTTTTTTTTAAATAAATAGACATTTGAACGCTATTCAAACGTTAGCGCCACATTTATTGCGTTACCTCACTGTGTGCGTAATCACTAGTACTGATAAGAAGAAAAAGAATCTTATACGAGATTTAAAATATCTTATTCAACAGGAAAGTTATTCTTATCGTGATCCAGTTACTGAATTCTTTGAATGTTTATTTGTGAAATTCGATTTCGATGGAGCTCAACAAAAACTTCGAATTTGTGAAACTGTAAGTTTTTTTTCATTGTCATTGTTGTCCGTTTGACTTCAAACTGTTCGATTTATTGTTGAGTAGTTAGTCAGTGGTAGTGGGCAGAAAATTCTGGTTGACCTAAGTTTCGTGCCAGTGGGCACTCGTCAGCAAGGTCTTTTTAGGATCTTGAGCGACGTAATACTCTCTGTCATATTCAAACGGGTGTCTCCTGACTTGGAAGTGTATGACGTTACCACCGATTCATGGCCATCACGAATAACCTGTTGTAGAACTAAGATACAGTTGATTGATCGTTGAATAGTAATCGATATCATATTTGTGTAGTGCTCTAGTATTGATAGAATCCTATCGACCAAGTTGAAGTACGATCTTTAGTCTAGTTTTTGATCTGGTACACAAACGTATGTGTCCACTGTTAACTGTATTGACCCGAACAATGAAGAACTCTAATCAGTAACTTGTTTTTAACGTGTACCTTTGCACAACAGATAAGAATATGTGCCTAGTCCTATTAATTTCACTGGATTAACGCACTTGAGGTATAATAAAGCCAAAAAACTTTCTTGTCTTACAATATTTGTATACAAGTGTATATGAATTATCAATAGTTCTATAATGAATAATAGTTTATGTCAAAAGTCACACTCTAGATGATGAATTCAACAAGAATCAAAATGACCAGCTCAATAGGACTGAACAGATGAATGATGTACCAACTAATAAGAGAACAGTTTACGTTCAACTAGTGAACGACAACTATAAGATATCAACTAGTTACTTATGAGTAATATGATTATGATACACAAATTCCACAAACCCAACATACCAATATCTTGTTTAAAACTTAGGTTGACTAGCAAAGGTTTTCTTTGAAACTGTAGAGCGCCATTTATTGTGTTTTCTAGGTCTTTTTTATCCTTCTTTATGCAGTTTAAAATATAGTCAAATTAATATTTACTGTGTCCTGTTCTTATGTATAAGATTCAAATACCTCACACAGTTGAACCTCCGAGTTATTCTACTCTCCTTCTCTAGTTTTCTATGGTTCGAATGTTATGTAGAACAATTCAGTTTTTTGTTTGTTATTAAATTTACAAGTTTACTTCAGTTTACAATATAACCTTTCAGACCAGTGGTTTGATAAAATTAGGTTGTCGAACCTAATGGACAGTATTTATACATCAATTAATGATAAGTTCTATCTATACTTCTCATATAAATGAATCTATCCTAACAGAGAACTCTTAAGGCTAAGCATAAAATACAAAATTACTCAGAAGTCAATGAATAACGTGTTGGTGCCAAAAATGTTTTTGTTTTTAAAACATTTCACAGAGTCAAAATCGTTTTTGTCAACTAGAAAAATATTGTCGCCTAGTTTCATAAATTAACATCCTGGAAGAGAGAGAAGATTATTTTCCTTCTTAAGGTCAAAAGCTATTCTCGTAAATACTATGTTGATATTGAAAGCTATAAACACTCATTCCATCTGTCTCATTGAATACGATGAGTTATGGTCAATTTGACTAAAATAACCATAAACAAATAAATATATGGATATTATTATATCTAGAGCTTTAATTCTTGCTATGCCGCGTACTACTAGACTACTTGAACGATGGAACGTTATAAGAAAGAAGATAGAAGACTAGTAAGTAGGAATTTTATTCCCCAAAGCAATGTCAAATATAGTACAGAAATCTCATGTATTCATAGTTTTTTGGCTGAAAGTAAATCATCATTTCGGATAGCCAATAGGCACATAGGGGGTCATTCTTACCCATCCAATAGGGAAGCTACACGTCGACATTCTAGAATGTTCCCGTAGTGGTGATTAAATGGAATGTCTTCGGCTCTTTCTGGGCTTCTTGAGGCTTCCTAGAGTTTGCCAACGAGCCATCCCTACAGATATCATGGTTTTATTTGGAATATTGATATTAAAAAATAACAGCTACAGTCATTGTAGTTAAATGAAAAGCTAGTTCTCGGGTTTTTCTATGTGTGTGTGTGCTTATTGGTAGTAGTGTGGTGTGGGTTACTTATATCCACATAATTAGTATATAGTGATGGTCAGGCATAGAATGCATTTTGACAGAAGATTGATAAGGAAAGAACAGGAACGAAGCGCAATCGGTATGAAAATGCATGAACAATGAAATCAGAGAAGATGGACTGATATTTGCATAAGAAACAGTCAAGATTGCGACAATTGATTGTTATTTTGCAAATTAACTGTTTACTGTATGGTTATCAGGATTTAGTGAGATAGTCTGTAATTTGTGCTTAAATACATTCGATTGTCCCCAATAAGTGTTCTTGTTCACTACAGTAGTAAATTAGTTCATGAAATCGCATAGCTTTCAATCATTATTCACTTGTCAGTTTAAACTATGTATATCCTGATTTAATTTGAAAAGTTTAATATCACATATTATTAATATCCCCTTCATTATCACTTAATCATAGATCATACTGAATATACGCAAATGATGTTCTGTTATTTTTTCAGTATTAATGTCCAACAACTGTCTTTTACTCTTAATAGTGTTTATATTCATTATTTTTCCCCATATACAAAGCCATATAGTGTATCTTTAATTTTTTTAAAATACTTTCAAGGTTTTACCGAATGATTTCTTTTTAACTGGATGTTATGATGAATTTATGGAGAATGCTCGTTTACTTATGTTTGAATCATTTTGTCGAATACATCATAGTGTTGGAATAAGGTAGGTAAACTGATTTTGTTATTTCTTTTTTTTCTCATTTACTTTATATGGATTAATTAGTGAACAGTAATTCATCATAACTTATTAGTCAAGGTAACTGAACATCTGGTGTAATCTGTTTTGTTGTTAAGTATTTTAAAGTTGTTTGACGAAAATTCTGGTTAATATAGTTTTGTTGCTAGTTGATAATTTTCAGTAGGGGTTTGCTTACAATCTTAAGGGAATTATTACTCGTTGTTGGATTCTAACAGAAATATCTATTCAACTTCTTAGTCTAATACATTACTACAGAGCTGGTTATATCTCAATTAAGATTATTTAAGATTGTATTTTTATGAAATTTTCTGACAAATTTCAACTAATTTTCTTATTGTTTCATAGAATATTCATAAATGGAAGTAATTTTTATCAGAAGGGTTTTTTGTGGAGATTTGGTATTTTCATAGTTGAAAGCGTGAATCAATTGAAGCTAGACCATCAGGAAAAACCTGGAAGCACTGAACGGCCGTTTCACCCTATCGTTGGACTCCTCTAGTGAGAAGCAGTAACCAGTGGAGTTCTAACCACGTCTGTTGTGAGATAAGAACTCACTGAAGACAATTGGTGAACAATTGCTCAACTTCGTGGATTCGTTGGGGTTAGACATAAACACCATCGGATGCCGGCTCAGTGGTCCATCTGTTAAGTGCTCTGGCGCAAGACTGATAGTTCCTGGGTTCGAATCTCGCGAGGCGGAGTCGTGGATGCGCACTGCTGAGGAGTCCCACCATAGGACAAAACAGCCGTCTAGTGCTTCCAGGTTTTCCATGGTGGTCTAGCTCCAATCGACTCACCCTTTCAACTATGGAAGTAATTTTGTTGTTTGAGAATATTTCTAGTTTAAAAAGGCTTCTCAATTATATTATTTTCTATTCTTTGTGATCGGACAATTTTATTACGTAAAATGAGTTTTTAGTAATTAATGACTGCCTTTTATAAACTTCAAACTCAGTAATAATAATACTAATAGTAGGAGGATTGAGACTGTTTTAAAACTGTAGCATGAGAATAAGTGAATCTTCACTATATATTTGGCAATGAGCATCTCAACTTTGGTTTCATACTAGTCAATAATTGACAACATGGAGTATCTGATGGTGTCTATTGAACTAGAACTTGTATCTTTCACTGTCATAACTAAAGATGTTACCAATGATTTTTTCAAACTATGATATAGGAAAGATTTCCGGATTAATCTATCACTAGTCATTAACCAATATTTTTTTGTCTGATCATAAGTGCTAATTGAATTCTTTTGTATTCATGTTAGTTATGTTTGGGTATACAGTTATTTTGAAAATCATATTTCTTTTCTATCATTAAGTGTACTTGCTGAAAAGTTGAATATGGATGTGGATGATGCAGAAAAATGGATTGTAAATTTAATACGCAACGCTCGTATGGATGCGAAGATAGATTCACAAAAGGTAAATCAGTATTCGTCTTTTGATAGAATATTTATTGTTATCTAGGAATTATTTAATGAGTGAAGAGTAGGATTCTTCTCGTTACTCTTCATAATATGATGCGCTATGTTAAGTCTTATTAAAACCTTCAACTACACGATGAAATGACATGTAAAAGTCGGCACTCAAATGACAAGATTTTCTTTTAACGAAAATATACGGGATGGATTACAAACCTCCATTCGTTACTGTTACAGTAAGACAACTGCTCAACTAATACAACAACATTAAAAGTAACTGTCACAAGCATTAAGAAGATGCAATTAAAATAACAGATATATTTAATGCTACCAGTTTACGTGATTAGTAATACTACTGAACAACAGGTAATAATGGTATTCTCTCAAAAGTTATTAGAATTAAAGCTGATTACTGGATATTAGTAAGTAGCATAATATAATATACAAAAGAGAATCAGTAAACAAAAGAATGCAAATGAAGTCCATATAAACTATATATTCAATTTTATCCGAATGAATGGAGTTGTTCAACAGTACTGGGTTATAGCTGTAAAACGTATCACTTTGATTTGGGTAAGATAACGGAAATGTAGCGTATAAGCGACTATTAAATATTCATCTCTGAATTTACACTTTATACTATCACGTCATGAAATGTAAATTAAACAATCTTTAAGAAATGTTCATATTCCTACTGCCTATTATTTTGAATCTTCTATTTGGGAGTCAATAATATTGATCTTCCGACTCGATGATATGCCAATGCTTATCGGGGCGCGCAAAATCCCTTCTTGAGATAGTGGGGATTTGTATCTCAGAAGGGTTTCTGAGCTGGATGGTTTGGTCGTGGAGCTTTCATCGTCCTTCTGAACAACATCATCAACAAAAACTTCGAGTAGAAGTGAAGTTGTTATGACTTGACCTAGCCGTCGCCAATTTGTTATGTTTTTGACCTAGGCGGTTGCCAATTGTCATTACTTGATCAAGGTCGTCGCTGATTCGTTATGACCTTACGAATTTAACAAGGACGTAATTCGCGTAAATTGTCCACCAATAGAATACGACTTCTACGACCTTCACACTGTGACAATGACGTTCGATTAGTATGAGTAATCTAGCGTCCTTATTGGCCCTTATCCGCCTAACCCGTCCACTTGAGTCCAAAACACCAATAGCAGCTGCTGTAATGCGAATCGTTTATTTCAAGCATACTTTATCTATATACCAGACAGGCAGACCACACCACACCATAAAATAGAAAATAATATTTGTACAAAACCAGGCTAAATGAGGCTGTAAGCGTGGGAGACAATAATCAATAAAACTGAGTATAACTTAGGAACAGTAAATCATACAATAATAATCAATAGGTCAAAATGAAGCTTACAATAAAATGAATATAGATATAGATAATCTAGTTACCGAATAGTTATACAATAAGAATGATAGTCCAATAGTAGGTCCTGCAAGTTACCCGTACTTATGTCTTCGCTACTACATAACAGAAGTGTTTGAATTTCTCCACATGTGGTTCACAGCTTGTCCTGTACACCTCGATGGTGATTGTTTCTTGTTGACCTTAAATCAACATATGGAGAAATTCAAACACTTCACTTCTACTTGAAGTTTGTGCTGATGATGTCGTTCAGAAGGACGATGAAAACTCCACGACCAAACCAACCAGATCAGAGACCAAAACCCCATCAAAATCCTTTCTTTTCCAAAGCCTTAATCAGAACACGATAATAAAACAATCTATGTTTCCTATGTATTGTCTGACTGAAAAATACACGAGTTATAGGACCGCAACAGTGGATGAGGTTATCCATCCGCTTTCCAATGTTTAGTAAACGTAAAGTTGAAGTATCTAGACTTTTCAGACATATTTCCGTTTAGTGTGAATATTGTATATTAGAATGTATTTTTCATTGAAGATTTTATTTCAAGCACTCCAAGTCATCCATATTTGTCTGCTATGAAAACTTCAGCGCAGTGCATCTCAAGTTGTCAGATGAAAAATGCAAATAAAATGAAGATCGAGACTTGAAACGAAATCTTCAGTAAAAGTTAGACTCTTATATAAAACAATCCACCCACTAAATGAGCTGAAAAAATGCCTGGAAATGCTGGACATCTCATAATTATTGATCACTGAAAAAAAAAACAACAGATGGATAGCTTCATATCAACTCACCATTTATAATCAATCACATTATGCTCCCAGCTATGAATTACAATTAATTTACAGCAGTGTAACATAGAACAACACTTAATGAATCAAATGAAAACTCACAATGAAGAAGAAATTATACAAAACTATGTAAACTAAGTGTTTAGTAAATTCACATCGTATATATACATAATGATGACCAATGAAAACGCTGTGTTTCTTTATTTATTCTCCTCGTTCTGAGAATACAGTTCTTAGTGACATTCATTTGTATGATCTGTACAGTTTATGCTTGTATATTAAGTTTATGTAGTTCGTCAATCTTTGTCTCTAACATGCTTTGTTCGAGGGATTGAGCTAACATCGGTAAACAGAACACAATTCAGCAACATGACAAGCTAAGCTATTACACTTCGCCCCTTGCCTGCTCACTAGAGGAACAAGACCAGATTCAGCCGGGAAAATATATAATTCCACAAGCAACCCGAAAAATCAAATAACAAGTACACAACTCATGCATATATATACAGCACAAAAATGGTCTTGAAAAACGTCACAAATTAGCGTACTAAAAGGAAAATCTAACAAATAAGGCTCAAGGCCCTTCCGGGTGGGAAACACAAACTGAAAGTAAAAATGGCGCGAAAATAAGAAATTCAAATAAAATTACAAAAATAAGACGTTTACTAAGTGATTTCTAGGGAACTAGCATCCCCAACACAACAGTACACAGTTGTGATTATATTTTTCCCCACTGATATCATACAATTTATCTCCATGACGTTAATAAAATTATATAAATGACTCTAATTTTTCTCTATCATAATTATAATACATATCACGGACTATTTTAAACAATACAACTTCTTTTACATTCTCTATATATTTACATATATAGGGTGTTATTGTAATGGGAACACAGAATGTTTCACCATATCAACAAGTTATTGAACGAACGAAGAGTAGTGGAACATGTGCTCATAAACTGTTGGAAAGATTACGTTGGGAGAAATCAATCGATACAGAACTGGTAAGTTATATGTATGTGTATAATCACTGGCCTATTCAATTATCTATTAATCTCCAATGCTAATACTAATGATAATTAAATTCATTTAGTATTGTTTGTTTGAATCTTTCCATCGATGTGTTAGGACTGCAACTGGTCAGTTTCTAATTGGCATATGTGCATACTGTGCGTATTGGCTCGATATAGCCTTAGTTCATAAGCATGGTAAGCAAAGATGGATAGTGGTGAGCAGTGGGATCCAGTTTGACGCGCGTTTCGTCCTATTTGTGACTCGTCACCTGGATGTACCTGCATCTCAGTTGATGTTCACTGTGGTACTCGAACCCAGTACCTTTCGCTTCAAACGCCATCGCGTTAAGGATATATCAAGGCAATACGCACAGTATGCACATATGCCAATTAGAGACTGACCAGTTGCAGTCCTAACTAATCGATGGGAAGATTCAAACAAACAATACTAAATGAATTTAAACCTCACCCCATTGTACAAGCAAGTGGTTATCAGGACTCTGTAGCTAAGTAAATAACTCGATGGCATTTGAAGCGAAAGGTACTGGGTTCGAGTCATAGAGTGAACGTCAACTCTGAGATGCAAGTACATCCAAATGACGAGTTCCAAATAGGAGGAAACGCGCGTCCTGGATTCCACTGCTCACCACTATCCATCTTTGCTTACTAATTATTATCGTTCTGTGGCAGTGTCTGTCATTAAAAGGTGTACCTGAGAAGTACATAAACCTTGTGAAGGCTCTTTACTCGAACACTACCAGTCGAGTGTGAGCTTATGGCGAACTGTCATATGATTTTACAACCTCAAGTGGTGTCCGTCAAGGCTGTCCACTATCCCCATTTTTGTTTAACTTCATTATATACCTGTTGCTGGAAATAGCACTCGTCGACTGAATTTTCAGGAATTAATCTTCTACCAGGAGGTTCACTTATCGACTTAGAATACGCAGATGACATAGTCTTGTTTGGTGAAGACACTGGCAAAATGCAGAGTCTTCTGTTAGTAATAATGCCAGGATGTTTGGGATACGTTTCTCCCCATCCAAATGTAAATTGTTACTCCAGGACTGGCCTGCGTCAACACCTGAACTAAGGATAGGGAGCAAAGTAGTCGAACGCGTCGACAACTTCACTTATCTAGGAAGTCTGATCAACCCTAATGTGTTGGTGTTTGACGAAATCTCAGCACGGATTCAAAAAGTTCGTTTGGCCTTTGCCAACTTACGTCACCTATGGCGAAGACGAGATATCTATCTATCAATTAAGGGACGAGTATACTGCGCAGCAGTTCGCTCTGTTTTACTTTACGGCTGCGAAACGTGGCCATTAAGAGTAGAAGATACTCGTAAGTTACTAGTATTTGACCACAGATGCCTTAGAAATATTGCTCACATCTGCTGGGATAACCGGGTAAGTAATAGTGAGGTTAGACGTAGGGTATTGGGGAATGATGGTAAATCAGTTGATGAGGTCATGAATCTTCATCGACTGAGATGGTTGGGCCACGTGTTACGTATGCCTGTACACCGATTACCACGACGTGCAATGTTGACTAGTGTAGGGGATGGTTGGAAGAAATTTAGGAGCGGGCAAACCAAAACATGGTATCAGTGCTTGAAGTAACTAACTTCTAGTTTGAGCCATGCTGGTAGATGCAGACTACATGGTTGGGGTCTGCGTAACTATCGTAACCAATGGTTGGAGACTGTAGGTGACATGGCTCAGAATCGATCACAATGGCGTAGGTGTATACACACTTTCTGTCTTCCCTTAAACCTTGAGATTAAAATTGTTTCATAACTTTTTTCCTTATATACAACCTTTCTTTTATATACTACCACCACTAAATTAATTACTTCTATGAATCCAGTATACATCATGTTGTGCTAACGAGGTATGGCAACTTGGACCGATGCATATATGTGCCTGGTCCTACGTTGTCGCTGACTGACTAATTATTATCATTATTATTTTTATTATATCGAATGATTATGTTTTTCCATGTTTAATTTATTCTTAAAACTTCCAATGTAAATAGATACATAGAGTATTCATGTTTATGCATAATTGCGATGTGTATTTGTTTGTTTGTACATGTTGTGTTTGAGTTTTATAATATCTCTTTTTTTTCTTCTATCTTATTCAACTATTTCCTACTACTTTTCATTATTAGATGGTAGTCAGTTAGTTAGTTAGTCAGTTAGTAACCTATTCAATGTAGTTTATTTTCACTACTCTGATTATTGTTGCCCTGTGTAATAACATGCACGCACGCACACATACACATACAGAGAGACATATACAAAAAGAGGAATAAACAGTGATGTATATACATAGGATCTATGACATTTGTGGATGTGACATTGTTTCTTTTTATCATTGTTTTTATGATCAACCATTCAATAGATATGTGTAGGTGGATATTATTATTATTATTATTCACAGTGATGAGTTAATTGCCAAATGTAATAAACATTTTGTTTATGTTAATATTACATCTTTTATATTATTTCAAGTTAATCCGTCCTACTATTTAAATGTTTTCTATATATATCATTACTATAATGAATTATTTGATAGGTTATTTTGCTAGCTTTTCATTCTCATAAAAGTTTAGTTTGTTCGTTCATTGATTTCC